GTCAAATCTTGAGTTATGGATTCCTTCATATTAATAGTCGCATAGGTTCCATTTCAAAGGTCACAGAATAAATTTAGACACCGTAAGAACACACTGTGTACTAAAGCGAGGCTGCTGACTTATTGAAGGAACTTATTTAATATTTTTTCCCACCTTTATTGTGAGGTCTTTAGGTGGTGAATTGAGTAACCTAAGAGAAAACATAAAATTTAACACAATGAGATGCAACTGCAATAAAAGGAGAGGAGACAATACCAAATGGTACAAAATAATAATCACCAAATCACATCTCACCACTTTTCTTGTTATGTGGTCAAAAGAGCTGAAGCTTATATGTGCCTCTTTTATAGTTTCTTTCTTACTTAGCATGTCCGCATTTTGCGGAGCAAGGGCAAGCTCTATTGTTGCGCCACTTGTGGCAAAAGAAATTGCCACTGCGCGAGACAACCTTAAACTGGGTGACTACCCAGATACTGAAGAGATCAAAGTTGGGAATGTACATTTCAGGTAACATGGATTTGATTATTGCGAAATTATTCATGAAGGGTTACTGACTGCAACTATTTCATCATGATATTTCTGATGCAGAGTAGCTTTCGATTCATATTTATAATTTACACTGCTTTTTAAGGCCATTTCCTCTCAAATTACTTAACAGGATGCAAAGAAAGTCACTTTCACAGCTTGCCTTGTAGGAAAGCTGTAAGTAGCATGTATTTGCCCTAAAGACATTTCAGTTTGCCCCCAAAACATTTTGATGAGCAGGATTTACCACACATTTATTACACCAAAGGCAAAATCCACCAAACGTTTTGACAATTTTGACATCCAAAAAAGTTAAGGAATTTTATAACAATTTGTGTCTATGTTGAAACATGGAAAACTCAGGATTCTATGTTAATTTTGTTTCCATTAACCCATTTTTTTGACAGGACAGATGAACAATTTGGCATCGTTATGAAGATTATCCTGTCGCATGACAAAAATGATGCTGCCAATAGAGCACATATGCATGTACCTAGGATATGCACACTCCTAGGGCAAAGTTTGAGGGGGTGGGCTGCCCTGACCATGACCAATACAATTTCTATCCAGAGGAAGTATAACTCAGCTTAATGCCTCAGGGACATAATATGATTATGTCATCAAATCAATTATTCAATTTCATATGTTCAAGACTGATTGAGAATGGACCAATATTGTGTCTACTTCAGCAAACCCCAGGGGCCATGTGTCTCCTAGTGTCTCCTTAAGTCCTAATCTCGTAACAAAAGGTTCTATAAGATCAAAGGGAATCTTTGTGAGGTGTTTTAGAAAAGTGACTTGTACTCTTTACGTGTGGAATGTGACCTGCACATTAGACCTGGCCCACTAAAAACAGGTCCCTAAATCCTTACTTATTATGGGTTTCAGCTTACCTTGAAAAGAACAGCATCAGTAAGAGACTACATAAAATTAATGTAGATTTAATGGAAATATAACATGCTTCCCTTACCCATTTTGCACAATCCCACAGGCGAGAATTTACTTTCACCCCATTACATGAAGGCAATTCTTACTGTCCAGTCAAACTTTGGTTCTTGCTTCTGGCAAGGAGGGGTGTCGTTAAGATCAACCCAGTGGAGGAAAAATGAGTTTACTATTAAAGAGGAGGCTAAGCAGTGGCCACTGTTTTGTGAGGCCGACTGCTCCACTAAAACGTTAACAGTTAGTGACATATACATTTCTGTAATGACAGTTAGGGGAAAGGTTCCGCTTTTAAGGGCAACTTCACCATGAATACTTCTTTTTTTTAGAAAGTTATGCAACTATACTGTTTATGTACCTTTTTTCCTTCTTTTTTACTATTTGGAAATACACATATGACGAATTGCACATTTCTCAACAATAGAGCTTATGGGATTGTGTTAATTTTTAAATTACAGCCCTGTTCCAATAATACAGCCCTGTCCAATAATATAATCCTATAGTATACAAAAGAAGTGTTCTCCTCTTGGTAACCGGTAAAATTTACTGTCTGGAGCACTGAACACTTCTTACCGCCTGAAACCGCTTGAAGGTTTACTAAAATAAAATAAGTTGTTTTAAAAAATACACGAGTTGTGCATGATCCCATCTGATCAAGGAAATGAATGAATTTATCGACGTGTACTAAAGTACACACAGCTTTCTTTTAATGGCTCATGCATTTTGGAAATAGAGCATTGAAGACAGAGTAAATTTATGGAATCAACTGTTTTTTAGATAACATGGGCTGATTTGCATACAAAAAGGAATTAAAATGAAGGAATGACGTTTCAGAGAACTTAGCTTCTAAATTTCACAGTGATGTCGTGGCCATGACCCTCACTCCGCTGCCCCCTTCCCCCCAAGGAAAGTCCACCTCTGGAGCATATTTTGTCTCTTGGCAGCCATAAATAACCCTTAATCTGCCTAGCTATAATTCAGGGAGAACACTGAAAAAGTACTGAATTAAAGTATTCACTTGCAGACAAAGCCACTGAATAACAGCCAACTTGGCCGTCTTGTGAAGACCTCTATACAAGCTGCAGGATTCAATACAGAAGACCTCTCACACAGGCCTTACAGATCGGTAGGGATTAATGATGTAATTTAGAGTTGTTCATGTGAAAGGCCAGTCCTATCATCCAAGCTGTTGCGGGTAATTATTGATAATGAACTCTGGTCATTTTCAGGGATTTGCTACCAGGTTTATTATTGCCACGGCAATAGAAAACGGTGGCGGGTTCGAGGATCACCATGTGGACCACCTAAAACGGCTTGGGGGGTGGTCCCAGAAGTCCTCTGTCGTCCATTTGTACATAAAGAAAGTGCTAGGAGGAGGTAAGATGGATTTGATTATTGTGTAATTATTCATTCAGGAGTATGATATTTCTGATGCAGAGTAGCTGCTGATTCATATATATGATTTACACCGCTTTTTAAGACCATTTCCACTCAAATTTCTTCACAGGGTGCAAAGAAAGTCACTTTCACAGCTTGCCATACAGGCAAGCTGTAGCTAGCATGTATTTGCCCAAAGACATTTCATCTTGCCACAAGAACGTTTTGATGGGTTGAATATTGAACTTATCTGTTTCTGATTCATGATGGTTAGAGAGTAGCAAAGCAATTAGATCAGATCTGCCATTGAAGTTCAAGAAAACAAATTAACAGGAACTACCACAAAAACTAAATCAGTTAAGAAAATAATGAGAAATACTGTACATGATAAGTGGTTCTCCTCTTACTTGGAAGGTGAAACTCAAACGACGCAAATTGATTCCTTTATATCTAGAAGAAAAAAATACTACTTGCTGTGTGCCGCAAGGCTCCGTCCTAGGCCCATTACTCTTCCTAATCTACGTCAACGACACTCAAGAATCCTCTGACAAATTTAATTTTTTTTATTTGCTGACGAAACGAATGCCGTATATGCTGACAAAAATCTCAAGTCCCTTGAGTCGACTGTAAATCAAGAACTCTGCACGTTGTTCGATTGGTTAACGGCAAATAAACTAACCTTCAATATTAAAAAAAACAAATTTTGTCATTTTTTAGACCAGCTCAGAGAAAACTTCCTATCACCCTAAAATAATGATATTCGATAATAGGGAACTTAACAACCACGACGACGGCCGGAAGTGAGTTACAGAGTACTGCGCAAGCGCGACCAGTAAATTTCGTTGTCGTGGTGTCGTCGACGACGCCAAACAAAGTAGAATCACGTCGTCCTGCAATACACAAGCTTCGGCAGATATAAATCCACTGTTTTAAGCGATTTTTGAATTCCTTATCATTTTCTTATCCTCATAAATCCAGGCATCGTTCCTTTTTTCTCCTAACAAGCGATGTTGTTTGAAATTCGACTAATGACAACATTTCTTCTTGTGGAAGAATGACAACAGCTGTGGAGGCGGAGCGAGCGAACTAGTAAGTGATACATTTATTTGTCCGTATTTAGGTAAGGCAAATCATTTATCTTTAACATAGAAGAAATAAACTCTGTATGGAAAACAGCTATCACATCAGAATGTCTCTTTTTCCAAATCTAAACTCTGACAGACACTCGGACTCAGTCATCTCATTCAGGTTGAAAGTTGAATAATCTTGGTACGGAAAGCAGGTGTTTTTCCACTCGAAAAGGTCAGGCAACACAGAAAAATTTTTAATCGTCAATGAAATTAGACGTACGGCTAAAAAATAAGATCTTGCATCGTTTTAAAAGACGCCATTGCGAAAAACTTCGTTGCGAACGAACATCACAGTTTTACATTTGTGTTAACATTCAGCGTCGTCGTCATCGACCTACCCACCGACTGTATCTTAAGTTTCCTTCTCCTGCCGAAAACGACGTTCTCGTTCCAGTCTTTCCCAGTTAACAGACGTCGTCGTCGTGGTTCTTAAGTTCCCTAATGATCAAAATAAATGTGGAATATTCTGGTTGACGGATTATAATGAAATTCTTCAACAGGCACAAGTCACATCTTTTGTTGGCGCTGTTGTATGGTCTGGCCCTGGCTAAAATGTTCCATGAAATGGTGTGATCGATGTTGTTGTCCTTCAAGGTCCAAATGTGTTTGCTGAGTTCAGTAGATTTTCTAGAGTATGTATGCATGTACGTATGTATGTATGTATGTATGGTATTATTCCAACAATCATACCTGGTTGAGGAATAAGCAAATTAGTAACAAAGAAAGATGTGTCTACCAAAGAGTTTGCTGCAGCCGGATAACTAGATATTTACCATTTGAGAATAGAAGATACCTAGGCAAATCTCGACCTTATTAGAAAGATGACTCAGCCGATGCTTCAACACCCCGTGAAGGGCATTACCCTGGCCAGTCAACGATCAGTTTTCTTCCAGTGATAGACTTGGAACCCACTGATATGACGTGGGTATATTCCACACTTTCATTCATGTGGACACGCAAGGCATTCCAGCGTGACACCAATATTGCAACATTTGATGAGCCCCTTTAGTGGAAGGCAATGATCATCATCACAAATGAACATTCTAGTTAATGTGAATAACATATGACGAATACCAGGAGCACGTGGCCCGTGGTTTCATTGCTATATCCGAACGACATTTCAGTTTCTTTCAACACTGATGGAGTTGCAGTTTTCCGCAGCTCTAAGAAGGGGGAATTGTGGCAACTGTACTTTGTTATCAACGAGCTATCCACCAGAATAAGGTAAACAAATAAAATGATATTATTTCAAGACAAGATGACCGTGACGGCTGGCTCAATTTAGTGAATGGTGGATTTAACCCTTGGATTTAGCGCTTTGCCAAAGCCTTACCCAACCACTTTTCAACTACTTTCAATTGAATTTAAAATATGTATTTATTGTTCATTATACTTAAATAACACACAAATCTAATGAAAAATTCTTTGTGTATGTGTCTCGTAGGATGTCCCCCAAAAATATGTCGACGTGTGGGTTATGGTACGCACCTAGTAAACCAAATATGCAGGTGTAGCTGAAAAAACTTGTGGACGAAATAAACAATATTTATGAACGCGGTTACTATTGTTATATCTAGGGTAATGCACTTATTTCCTCTCACTTGAAGCGCCATGGAAACTCTAGCTTAGCCGGACGGAATTGTTCCAGGAAGTGTCATGCTCAATTTTCCAAGCCGTTAAACCGTATGGTGTTTTTCTAGTGGGTGTAGAGATGAAGATAAAGGAAGGTGTGGTCTGAAATGCTTAATATCATCAACGTGCACATCAGAGCTGGGATATCACTCTCTGCTATTGATTAAGCGAATATGAGTTGTTTTCAGCCGTTTATTTATTTGTTATTGTTCATTCAAGGATTCAACTTCACTACAAGTAGTGGTACACAGGTTTGCAGCGCAATGCTCATGCTTTCGCCAGACGATCTACCAGTGCAGGCAAAGGTTTGCCAAGACAGCATTTCACCCAGTTGGTAAGGACGAGAAGGGCAGCCGAGAAATGACCTCTGGCCACCACCTGAGGGAATGGCTGAGCCTATATCAGATGACAGGGATCTCTTGGTGAAGATGCAACACAAGATGCAATACTGGAGGGCCATTTGCTTTTAGACAACTGAGTTGCACTGCACAGATGTTTTTGATTACTGCTTGAGAAATCCTGGTCATCTCAAGCAAGGATTGCAGCCAAGAGAACGTGTATGTCGCATAGAGTTTTGAAACAAGTTCCACCCAGGGAAAAAACTGCACCATGTTCCAGAAATTGTGGAAGATCATAATGGAGCTCTCCTCCTCTAGATGCCACGTGACCATTCACCTGTGGTTCAGCACTTTCGATAACAAAATAATACAATCTTGGAAGGCAACTAGCGATGTGAACTTAATTATTTACAATTCCCCTCTGGACAATCCTAGCACAGATGATATTATAGCCATAGATGATTGTGTGTGTGGATATGCTTGCAAGGATAGCGAACCCACTGCTGCAACTGCTTATCTCTTTAAGAACATGGTGAATGCTGTTGATGCAGCTGATGCAGACAAGGTGACAGGCAAGTCAATGTCTGCTAAGATGCTGATAGTACTGACAGTAGGATTATGCTTGTTACACTGACCAAGCTGGTTTGACATCCAAGAAGTGAAGGGGGATGCTGAATCTTGGATTGACCGGTTTGTGGACTTTCTTTCTACTGATGAGTGTAATCATTGTTTTACAGTCTGAAAACAATAGCTACACTTGCAAATTACATTTGTAAAAATTTTATAAAACTGACCCTGAAACCAGACTCCAAACTAGAATAAAGTGAGGTGACCCTGGCATCAATCGTCTGGACAAAATCGCCAAACAACACGACACAGACTAGGACAAAGCTATGACCTTACACGATAAATGGATAGCAGATAAAAAAGCAGGGGAAAAAAAAGGACTGAACACATTGTAGAAACCATCACGAAAGTCAAAATTCATGTGTAAGATTTAAAGGAGGTTTGGTTGGGGCTGTGCTGCTAAAACTCTTCGATTCTGACTCTGTTTAAGGCAAAATGCATTAAAATTGCAATCCTGGTTAGAACGCTAAATAGCGAGACTGAATACTTTTTTTAAGATCGAAGATCCCATAAACCTATTCTTGACTTGCCCGTGACGTCATAGCATATTCCATATTTGGGGGCCACCATGTTGGTGTACAGGTACTTACAGAAAACATGGAGTCGGACTTCAAAGAAACGAATGAAAAGGACGGCAGTTCTCAATCTACGTCTCAAGATCTCATCCAACACTCACAAAACATCGAGCAATCTTTCCCAGCACTATCAGAGTTTTATAAAAGTTAAGAACCTCACGTAAAACGGCGACATTTAGAGAAAATATCAGTGGTTGGGCTCGATCCTGAAACACTTCTAGACGCAAAGCTTGACCCGGAATGTTTGCCGCCAATTGAGGCTATGGACCTATTCAGTTATCTTGTTATGGACACCAGCTTTTATACCAAAGAGCAGTTTAAGGCCTCTAAAAACCTAGAATCGTTTAATTTTTTGGTATCCGGTTTTATTACAAATGCTCAAGAAGTCAAAATATCGGACAAATATGTCGTGACTGGAAAGCTTCGACATAATCAGAGAATGAACAATCCTTTGCCGCCCATCTCAGTGATTTCTTCAAATGAAGGAAACGTTTTGTCGGCTCATTGTATGGGCCGCAAATCTGGCCTGGCTGAACCTTGTTTCCATGTTGCAGGTGCATTATTTTACACTGAGGCCTGGCCAAGGCCAATTTCCACACAAATGAAGTCCTACTGGATTATCCCTTCATACGTGAAGGAAGTGTCTTATGCCCCCATCAGTGAAATAAATTTTAAATCTGCTCGTAGGCTCAAGCAAGATCTCGATCATGCTATTAACTCCAACCCAAGCACTGCATCGAACACTTGTACGCCACCTAGGGCAATAACTCATAACAATGATAGCAAAGTCCCTGGGATTTCTCCAACCGATGAAGAAATGGAAATTTTGAGTTTCATGCACTCTCACGCAGATCAGTTTATCTTCAAAAGCAGGAATATTCCTACAGTTCCTGATCTCTTCTCCTCAGATAACCTTGAGCTTTTCTATCCTGACCCGTTTAATGAGGGCAATGAAGTGGAACTAAAAATAACACCTGACAGGAAACAAGGGAGCAATGTAGAGCAGCAAGTTGGGCTGGGCGAGTTAGGGCATCTGTGAGTGATGCAGTGGCTCATTTAAATCCTTTACAACCTTCTCAGTCATTGATTAAGTCAATTTGCTACCCTAGCCTTTTCAGTGCGACGACTAAAGCAACTGCCAATGGTATTAAGTATGAAAGCGAAGCAGTTAGAGCTTATGCTGAAGAAATGAAGGTCAAAAATATCAACTTCAAGGTCACAACTAAAAGGTATTGTTGCAGTTATTGTTGACTTTAATCTTGACAGACTGAAACGCTACCAACACAAAGGCAAATTATTCAGCGATCTGGAGGCAGAACATGGACTCGAATGTTTGATCACCAAACCAACAAGAATTGCCAGAAAGGTACAATAACAAGTAGTACCTTAACTGATGTGCTGATCGACCTGATCTCTTCGAGAAGTGTGGTGTCTACAATGTGGCTCTAACCAATCATATGTTAGTAAACGGTTTGATGAAGGAGAAAGTTAATCGCAATTCCAAAAAGGTAATCACCTTCAGGAGTTACAAGAACTGTGATTTGGATAAGTTTTTTTGTCACCAAGTTAACGTTTGATTGACACACTTGCATCATGAAAGCAATGCATAAGTGTCAAAGTAAACAAGTTCGATTTACCATAGTAAACTTTATCTACTTTTTTTAAAACTATAGTTAAGGCTTTTCACAACACTAAACTCTCAAGAGAAGGTTTTTTAAGGAGGCCTTGGAAGAAATTATTGAAAACCCCAACGTGAGATATGGCCAACGTGGAAGGCCTCTTGAATCTGAGTCTGAGGCAGAAGAAGAAAGAGAGGAGGAAGAAGAGCCAACTAAGGGAAAACAGGAAAAAGAACAAAGACAAAAACGAAGTTTTGACAAAAAACAGAGCGAACCTGAATTGATGTTCGTATGCATTGATGTTGATGTTAGTAAATATTGATGTTGGTCAGGGGTCAGCGGACAAGATGGCTGCTTATTTCTTCGCTCTTGAGGAAATTGTAGTGACTTTGAGTCTAGTGTTCTGTAGCGTGTGATATATTATATCTGTTTAATATTGTGAGTGTCTACCAGTATGCCGGCTATGAATTGCGACCAATTTACCAAAATTTTAGACGACAAACTCAATCCACTTAACTCGACAATCTCCGAGTTAAAAAAATCAGTTAATGAGGCGATGAGTTTTCTCGAAGTTGTGAATGCGAAGCACGATGAATTGCTAGAGATGATCAAGAGCTCAAAGGATGAAAGAAAGGCTTTGAAAGATGAGAATAAGATTTTGCAAGATGAGAATAAGATCTTGAAGGCAACAATTCGCAGCATTGAAAGTTCACTGGAATCAGTTACGAGAGCGAACAATGATCTGGAGCAGTACACTCGCAGAGAGTGCGTGGAAATCCGAGGAATCCCTGTTGCTGCTACTCCA